ACCATCTTTAGTGTTTACCTATACTGTCTTTTAAACAGGTATAGTTAGCTTAACAAAGCCTACAGGTAATCATTAACTCTCACCTCCTCCGGAGTAAAATAGTGACCCAAGGTAATAACGCTTAAACTTGGAACTATCCTTTCTCATCTTCCACATAACCGTTGACAAATATTTTCGTTCCTCCCTGTTTATAACTACTCAAACGTTGGTCCTTACTTGTCGTTACAGAGAGCACTGCTGTCGGTGTTTGCCTGTGCTTTCTCCCCGTCTCCCTACGTGTCAGGCCATCTTCCTTGGTCCGCTTCCTTCTTGCTGAAGTGTGTATATAGGAGGCGGACTCCATTTCGGTCTTTGTGTGTCTGAAAGCATCTTGGTTTCACACTCGCTCGTGTGGGTGCCTTCGTGCCGACCTGGGGTGGCACCCCTGCAGGGAGGTCTCGATTTGTCCCCCCTGGGATCCTGCGGGCTTCTCACTTTTAGTCTAGTTTTCATGTTAATCTTACTACTTGGATTCCATTTCCTATGGTTTGACTCCACACCTACATGTGATGTAGGGTTGGAATTCAGGTTTCCTTTGGGTTATTTTATTGATTTTAGAGAGATCGGAAGGGAGAGGGAGAGAGAAACACTAATGTGAAAGAGAAACATCAGTCGCTGCCTCCTGCATGCTCCCTGCTGGGGATGAAGCCTGAAGTCCAGGCTTGCGCCCTGACTGGGCATTGAACCGGGACCTCTTGGTGCATGGGACGACGCTCAGCCACTGAGCCACACCAGCCAGGGCGCGTTACTCATTTTTTTACCCAAGTCCTGAGCTGCTTGGCCAGCTTTCCTTCGACCAAGTCAGCAGCGAATTCTTTAGTCCCTATTTCCAGAGCAGGTGAGTCCTGTTAGGGCCGCTCTCTCCTTGTTCTCAGCAGTGGTTCTGTGGATCCAGGGTGTGAGCCCTCATCTCTCCAGGAGAGGCCAGCACTGAGCCACGTTGGCTCCCGTGGCCCTTGCTCCGCCCTGCTCACCACTCAGGCTCCCAGGTACATTGTTGTTTATAGCATTTAAGGGTTTTCCTTTATTGCTTTTGAGCTCCACTGTGTATTAAATTCCTTTTGTTCTATTTTCTTAAGCATTTTTCTGTGTTCATTTTTGTGTGAGGTACTTTCTTTGTTAGCTCTGTCCAGTGTTGAGCAGGAGCCTCAGTTTTTTTCTGAAACCCGATATGCTCCTGTCACCCCCACTGGATTTTTGTGGACTTGTTAGCACTGCTTCATTCATTTATCCAACAACTATTTGCTGAGTATAGTCTCTGGTCAGACCTGGGGATCCTGTGCTAAGCAGGATCTGTCCTCATGGAGTTTTCTGTTTAATTGGAGAGGCAGAAAGCGAACCTGCAAACAATAAATAAACACGGGAAGTCCAGTTTGTGAGATGTGCTTGGAAGGAAGGAGTGATGGAGAGGAGCAGTTGCGGCTTGCAAGCCGGGGCAGGCGGGAAGCGCTCTAAGGATGCTGCTTTTGAAGCTGAGACCAGAAGGGTGAGCAGGGTCCAGCCCTGCAAACAGCGGCGGGCTTGTTTGGGGTCAGGTTAATCCCAGGAAGTGGAAACCGCAAGTCCAAGGACCCAGGGGTGGGGAAACACTTGGCATGTTAGAGTTGGGAGGTGACACCCTTGTGCTCCAAGGAGGGAAGAGTGTGCCCCCGGGAGGGTGGAGAGGCAAGCGGGAGCCACCCCTCTCTGCTGCCCACCCCTCTCTGCTGCCCTCCCCCCTCTGCTGCCCTCCCCTCTCTGCTGCCCTCCCCTGCTGCCCTCCCCTCTCTGCCCACCCTCCCCTGCTGCCCTCCCCTCTCAGCTGCCCTCCCCTCTCAGCTGCCCTCCCCTCTCTGCCCACCCTCCCCTGCTGCCCTCCCCTCTCAGCTGCCCTCCCCTCTCTGCCCGCCCTCCCCTCTCTGCCCACCCTCCCCTGCTGCCCTCCCCTCTCAGCTGCCCTCCCCTCTCTGCTGCCCTCCCCTCTCTGCCCACCCTCCCCTGCTGCCCTCCCCTGCTGCCCTCCCCTCTCTGCCCACCCTCCCCTGCTGCCCTCCCCTCTCGGCTGCCCTCCCCTGCTGCCCTCCCTTCTCTGCCCACCCTCCCCTGCTGCCCTCCCCTGCTGCCTTCCCTTCTCTGCCCACCCTCCCCTGCTGCCCTCCCCTCTCTGCCCACCCCCCCTCCACTCTGTTGCTGCACTGACCCTTCCCCCAATGGGCCGTGCAGAGTCGCCTCCTCACTGCCTCGATTCGCATGCGCGCTGTTTTCCTACTTCTCAGAGTGTAAGATAGGTGGTTGTTGACATGACAGTGTCTGCCAATAGGCCGTGAGCTTCTCTCCAAGGACAGGTCTTACCTCGTGCCCCCAGCACGCAGCACATGTTGTACATGGTGGGCACAAAGAGAATGTTGATTGATTAAATACTTGGGTTTGGGTTTTCCAGCAGTTGGTGCTTGGGGCTTCTTTGCAATACCTTGATAACGGGACTTCTCATAGATAATAATTTTTGTGGTATTTAAACCACCAGAGTAAAGGAAACCATCAACCCGAGGAGGAAGTTTTTGCTTAAGGCTTATCTCTGACACTGTAGGGAAAGTAGTCAGGGTCTTTTCAGATGTAATTAAGGTAAGGACATTGAGATGAGATTATATTGGATCCTTTGGGTGGACCCTGAATTCAACGACAAGTGTCCTCCTAAAAGACAGCAGAGGAGAAGACACAGAGGAGAGACCACAGAAATTGGAGGGACGCGGCCACGAGCCAGGGAATGCCAGGAGCCACCAGAATCTGCAAGAGGCAGGACGGATTCTCCTCCAGAGCCTTCGGAGGGAGGGTGGCCGGGATGACACTTGATTTCAGACCTCTGGCCCCCAGAACTGTGAGAGAACCGTGGGTTTCTAATGTAAAATGCCCAGTTTAATACGTATCTCTCTCATTACACCTGCGTGACGTGGATACAATAATACCTGCCTCAGACTGGTATTGCCATGATTAAATAGGATATATACTACCTACCTCAGGAACTTATTGCAGTGATTAAATGAGGTAGATGTAGCCCCTGTCTCAGAGCTTATTGCTGTGATTAATGGCATGTATTTGTAAGGTACTCAGCACACAGTGAATGTTCAAAACCAAGGGCGGCTCCCCCTCTCCCTCCTCTTCCTCCTCCTCTTCTTCAAGGACTTGGGCATTTGCTCGCTCCTGTGCAGGAAATCTCAACAGCAGAGCGGGACATTTGTCTTCTGCTTGGTGGGCCGAAGCTGGTTCCAAGGCCTTGACCTGAGAGCTGAGAGCGCCCCCCCACGTGGCCGAGGCCCTCTCCGCCCTGCGCCTTTCGGCCCTCCACTCTGCTTTTGTTCAGCTTTCTACTGCGCGGTGGGGGAAGACAAACCAGATACCAAATTTGGAATGACCCACCAGCGCAGAAGGCTGCTTCTCAGCCCTCACCAGAAAGGAGGGTTTCGTTCTACATGTCTAATTCCTGCTAAGGCCTCTGAGACTGGACGGTCCCCCAAACCTGACACACCAGTCATCAGAAATGCCCCACGGTTCAGACGTTCTGTATTTGGCCGAATGCTTTCATACGCCCAGGAGCGCCTGAAGCTGAGAGGACACCTCGTCACGGCCCAGAGCTGAGCTGGGTGCAGGGCTTATGCTTCGTGTCCCCACAGATGGCGGGCACCGCGCTCGGAGTGGGGGCCCAGGGCTGAGCAGGTGCAGGACTCATGCTTCGTGTCCCCACAGATGGCGGGCACCGCGCTCGGAGTGGGGGCCCAGGGCTGAGCAGGTGCAGGGCTCATGCTTCCTGTCCCCACAGATGGCGGGCACCGTGCTCGGAGTGGGGGCCCAGGGCTGAGCAGGTGCAGGACTCATGCTTCGTGTCCCCACAGATGGCGGGCACCGCGCTCGGAGTGGGGGCCCAGGGCTGAGCAGGTGCAGGGCTCATGCTTCCTGTCCCCACAGATGGCGGGCACCGTGCTCGGAGTGGGAGCCCAGGGCTGAGCGGGCGCAGGGCTCATGCTTCCTGTCCCCACAGATGGCAGGCACCGTGCTTGGAGTGGGAGCCCAGGGCTGAGCGGGCGCAGGGCTCATGCTTCCTGTCCCCACAGATGGCGGGCACCGTGCTCGGAGTGGGGGCCCAGGGCTGAGCGGGCGCAGGGCTCATGCTTCCTGTCCCCACAGATGGCGGGCACCGTGCTTGGAGTGGGGGCCCAGGGCTGAGCAGGCACAGGGCTCATGCTTCCTGTCCCCACAAATGGCGGGCACCGTGCTCGGAGTGGGGGCCCAGGGCTGAGCAGGTGCAGGACTCATGCTTCCTGTCCCCACAGATGGCGGGCACCGTGCTCGGAGTGGGAGCCCAGGGCTGAGCGGGCGCAGGGCTCATGCTTCCTGTCCCCACAGATGGCGGGCACCGTGCTTGGAGTGGGAGCCCAGGGCTGAGCGGGCGCAGGGCTCATGCTTCCTGTCCCCACAGATGGCGGGCACCGTGCTCGGAGTGGGGGCCCAGGGCTGAGCGGGCGCAGGGCTCATGCTTCCTGTCCCCACAGATGGCGGGCACCGTGCTTGGAGTGGGGGCCCAGGGCTGAGCAGGCACAGGGCTCATGCTTCCTGTCCCCACAAATGGCGGGCACCGTGCTCGGAGTGGGGGCCCAGGGCTGAGCAGGTGCAGGGCTCATGCTTCCTGTCCCCACAGATGGCGGGCACCGTGCTCGGAGTGGGGGCCCAGGGCTGAGCAGGCACAGGGCTCATGCTTCCTGTCCCCACAAATGGCGGGCACCGTGCTCGGAGTGGGGGCCCAGGGCTGAGCAGGTGCAGGACTCATGCTTCCTGTCCCCACAGATGGCGGGCACCGTGCTCGGAGTGGGGGCCCAGGGCTGAGCAGGTGCAGGACTCATGCTTCCTGTCCCCACAGATGGCAGGCACCGTGCTCGGAGTGGGAGCCCAGGGCTGAGCAGGTGCAGGACTCATGCTTCCTGTCCCCACAGATGGCGGGCACCGTGCTCGGAGTGGGAGCCGGCGTGTTCATCTTCGCTCTGCTCTGGGTGTCGGCGCTGCTGCTGTGTGCGCTGCTGTCCAGGGCCTCCGGGGTAGCCAGGTAAGGCAGTCTCCCTCTGGGAGTCCAGGGTAAAACAGAAGTCAAACCACTGATGCTCGTTACATATTTAGGATTCAGAAGATCCTTTCTGTAATTACTGGCACATTTTAGCCTTGATCACTAACACTAACTGTGTTATTGGCTCTGACCAGAGGTGGGAGGAGAGGGAAGCGCCGTTGTTCAGTCTGACCGTGGAGGAGCCCGTGGAGGAGCGGGGAGGGCATGGGATGAAAGAAAACCCGCTTCACTGCCTGTCGGATTTCTTGGGGGTGGGCGTGTGTGCCCAGGGAACACGCTGAGGACACGCTGCCTGTCAGCTGGCTGTCCATCAGGCACCAGCTTCAGAAGGGAGTCAGGCCGTAAGCTACCACCACGACACTATAGCATGTACCCTCTGGCCAGATAGTGTCAGTGTAAAGCAGCAAGTTACATACTTTACAAAATTATTCTGGTCTAAAAACAAACACAGAAGTAGGGGTGAGGGAGGGGCTGCTTGGCTTCCGTGATTATGAGTGCACAGAGGCAAAAGTGCAAACTGCCAGTTCCCATTCTTGGAGTTCGGAACAACTGGGAATGGACAGGAACGCCTCCAGCTGGTGCCTGCGGAGGAAGAAGGGCTTTGGGTTCAAGGGAAACATTTCTAAATTGACGGGCAGTGTGGACACAGGCCCCAGGGCCTTGTTAATGGGCTGAAACATGATTGGCCCCATGGAGGCCATCAGGCCTGACTACAGAGAAACTGCCAACAGTGTTTCACTCTGTCTTCAGACCCCAGGTTCTCGGGGGGTTTTGACCCCAGGTTCTCAGTGGTTTTGTATCCACATTCTCCGTGGTTTTGTATCCAGGTTCTCCATGGTTTTTGACCTGAGGTTCTCCATGGTTTTCACCCCAGGCTCTCTGTGTTCTGTCCCCTGGTTCTCTGTGTTCTGTCCCCAGGCTCTCTGTGTTCTGTCCCCAGGCTCTCTGTGTTCTGTCCCCAGGTTCTCTGTGTTCTGTCCGCAGGTTCTCCGTGGTCTTCGTGTTCCTCGGTGCTCTGAGCGTCACAGCAGCTCTGCTGCTCCTCCCCCGAGCCAGTGAAAGCCCCGCCCCAGAGGTCGAAATGAAGGTAAAACTCTTGCTTTTCTTTTGCCCCCTTGTTGTAACTCTTGTTCCTCTTGACCGAGACCTCACTCCTGCCCCGCGGTGTTCCCTGGCATCCACTGGCGGACCGGTGTTAGACTCGTACAGTTAACGCAAGGATGAGGAAAGCTGGTTGGGGGGTAGAGCCCCTGTCCCTGCACCCAGGAACAGAATCGGATTCTGAGTCCCCATCCAGATGAAGGAGCAGTGTGTCTGAAACCAGCTCATGTCCGGGCAGGGAGGGAACAGGAGTGTGGAGTAGGACTAGACCTTCTCCCGGCACCCAGGTGTCCCTCCCTGGGGCCTGGGCTCAGAAGCGCAGATCCTGGGCCTCAGCGTCTGCAGTGCCCTCGCGTGCTGCGCTTAGACCTCCATGTCTTTGGATTTTCCTCTTCTGATGTGAAGAGAATACTTTTCATAGAGAAGAGCAGTGAGGGAAAGAGGTTTTCTGGAAAGTAGAAGTTATACCGACAGATGAATGAGCACTCGTGGTCTTCTGGGAGCTCCTTCGGTCCTCATTCCTGGAACCACACCTGCCAGCACCCACCTCTCCTAAGGCCTGGTCCCCTCGCAGGCTCTCCGTGGAGAGTCGACTCAGCCTGGGCCACCCCTGACTGGGGCTCTGGCTTCATGCACGGCTGGTCTCAGACCCCTACGATCTCGATAACGGTATTGACATCTGATGTCCCATTATTCCTTCTGGCAGCTTCTTTCCTCCCAACCTCCACTTGCACTTCTTAAGTCGGAATGGTGAGAATAGCTAACGTATTCTCAGGGACTACTGTGTGCAAGGTACCATGGTAAGCTCATGTTTGCATTATCTCACTTAAGCCTCTAGACGACCCTAAGCAGTATGAAGTAGGTACCATTATTACCCCATTTTATAGATAAGGACAGCGAGACTGGAAGAGGTCAGAGTGACTTGCCCAAGTCAGACATACATAGAAAGAGTCAGAGCAAGAACTGAAGCTGAGAGTGTCTTCAAAACTTTCATTGTTGGGAACGCAGCAGACCTTTAGGGGCCATCACAGAGAGTTCAACAACAGTACACAAAATTATATGACTTCTGAACTAAAATTGGTACATATTTCTAACTCTGCCTAGGACCGCCTATGGCAAAAGGAAGGAAAATCATTCTGAAACTCCAAGGGAAATAATACTTAACATACAGTGTAAGGAATTCTTTCCATTCATGCTAGGTCCTTTTATCAGCCTTTGAAAACCACTCCGTTGCCCTGGCCAGTGTTCTCAGTGGTTAGAGCATTGGCCCGCAGACCAAAGGGTTGCCAGCTAAATTCCAGTCAAGGGCACGTACCTGGTTTGCAGGTTCAATCCCCAGCCCTGGTCGGGGCCCCTGCAGGAGGCAACCAATTGATGTGTCTCTCTCACATCAATGTGTCTCTCTCTATTTCTCTCTCCCTCGCTCCCTCTCCCCTCTCTTCCACTCTCTCTAAAAATCAATGGAGAAAGTATCCTCAGGTGAGGATTAACAGAAAAAGTAGAAGAAAGCAGGGTGTCGGTGTGAGTCCTGTTGGTGAGTCCGGGGAGGCTCCCCCCTGGGCTTCGCTGGCTGCGAGGGGAGCGCGGTGAGGCTGCTGTGTCTGCATCCCTGCAGATGTGAGAGCTGGAAGACGGCCGAGCAAACACTGCTCTAAAATCAATCCCACTCTCCTCTGTCCTGTGGGTTTCAGACCTGGGAGAGGACAACGGACTTTGAGCTAAAAATGTTCATCCACATGGCCCGCAGGACTGGAGCTCCCATTTTCTGGTTTTGAGAACTGGCCCCTGTAGCAGCCTGGCTCAATACCTATCAATAATACATGACCTGGGCCTTCTTCACCCAAGGCCTGCTAATTGGCTAATTAAAAAGTGAAACGTGTCGAACGAGCAAACATGTAGCCCGAGGGAGACTTGTTCAGTGCTGGAGCCAAGGTCAAAGTTATGTTAAAGCTGTTTGATCAAACTGACCTTTGTTCTGAGCAGGCTGTGGGAGTATCTGCGGAGCAGCCCTTTCTTCTTGGTGTTTCTGGGTCTCGGCGATTGCAGCGGTGTTCGGACTCGACAGGGGCTGCGTGTCGCCCTGCATTGTTACTTCCCGACTGCGGCTCCAACGCATGACCGCACACTCTGGCTTTCCACACGACAGTGTTCTTTCAGAGTGACCTGGAAGTCCAAAACCAGTCTCACTGGGCCAAAATCAAGGCTTGGAAGGGCTGACTCCCTCTCTCGCGGTTCTAGGGAAGGCTGTTGGCTTGCCCTTCCAGCTTCTGGAGGCCACCCTTGGCCGGGGGTGCCCGGGCTCCATCTTCAGAGCCAGGAAGGTGACACCTCTCCAGTTCTGCTTCCCTCTTCTGCTTCTCAGGACCTGTGCTTCTGCCGGGCCCTCCTGGCTTAGATAACCCAGGCGAATCTCTCTGTGTTAAGGTCAGCTAACTGGCAAGCTCAGCTCCATTTACAACCTGAATTCTGCATGGCCATGTCATCTAAACATTCCCAATTTCTGAAAATTAAGACGTGGACATTCTTGTCTACCCCAATCCCTTTCACGTGTTTGGGACCCTCCACTGGGTACGGGTTTTTCAGAACTTCTGGAATCTGTGAATCCCCCAGTGTCTTGGTTTGTGTAGCTGCTCCACAAGGTTTGTAGGTTAAATTTCTCTTTCCTGCCCCAACTTAGTCGCCACCGATCGGGTCTGGAGCTCTGGCAGTGGACGGTAGACCAGTGGGTAGAGCCAGCACTGATTGTAGGTTTTTGTCAGCAAAGACTAACAGCTTTGGGGCCTCAAGGACGACCAGGCAACCAACCATATGCTTTGGGGCACGTTATCTACCTGTCCCCTTAGTGTTTCAGTGTCTCAGATAAATGGCCGTGTTCCCTGCCCCTTGGAATACTGGGTATGACTGTTTGGGTTCAGAACTCTTCGGAGGAGAGTTTTAAAGAGCCACCTTTTCATTTTGAAAACAAACCCTCCGGTGGGTTATGTTTGGGTGGGATTTGGGTACATGGGATTCATTATGCTATTGTATTGCTATGTATGTTTAAAATTCTCCCTGATAAAAAGTTAACAACAAAACATGAGCTTTTCTAAGACCAAATAGGCTTCTCGAGAATGCTTTTAGACAAGAAAGATGTGATTCTCGAACATGAAAGAACTCGCCCAGGGTGTTTGAAGTGTTTACCAGCCTCCTAAATGAGCCATTTGTCTCCGTACTTATTGGCTCTTTGTCTGTACTTCCGGCTCAGGCGTTGAGGAAACGTTCTTCCCTGACCATTAGCAGAGGAGACTCGGGCAGGATGTTACTGGAAGTTACAAATAGGAACAGACTCTGGGCCCGTTCATCAGAGATTTCACACGAGCACAGAGGAGCACAGCCGGGGTGCCGCAGTGATAGGAATCTCATGTCCGACGTTTTCTTCTCCAGATTGTGGATGCCTTTTTCATTGGTCGCTACGTCCTGCTGGCCTTCCTCACTGCTGTCTTCCTCGGAGGTCTCTTCTTGGTTCTAACGTACCACATCCTGGAGCCAATCTATGCCAAACCACTGAGGTCCTACTGAGTGCTGTTCACGAAAACCAAGACTCCGTCCTCTCTCTCGCTTTGATGGGATTGATGAGCAGAAAGGCGCCGCTCGGAGCTTTGTTTTGATGGCCTTTGGGCCTTAAGGTCCGGGAACGTCCATTCACTGCCGAGACGTCCCTTGAGTCCTCGCTGCCAGGCACGGGTTGCAAAACTGTCTCTTTGGAGGTGGATTCCCAGTAGCTTACGAGGGATGGTGCGCTCTCAGCACCTGCACCTCAGGTTCTCCATCTGGTGAGGGGAATAGTAACAGTGATCTGCTTCGAGGAGATTTTCAACCAAATGTCAGTAAGTGGATTTCGGGAAAAGGTACACTTGGCTCCTGCTGTCCAATAAATGAGAATTTGGTCCTTTAGATAATACATAAAGTTCTTAGTTTTAAGGTTGGGGTCGTGTGCAAAGGAAAGGCACTCAGAGTTCAAAAGGTGATGTTCCTGGGATGAGTGGGAAGACTTACTGGGTGTCAGCCACTGAGCACCGCGTGTCGGCCACAGCCTCCGCAGGGCCCTCCCTGCTCTCGACGCAGCACACGCCCCAGCTGAGCACTGGCCGCACTTCAGACTCGGCCCCAGCGTCCTGAATCCCGCACTAGGTGTTTCAGGTTTACTTAGGGATCAGCGGAGGGTGCGGGAGTGCTGGTTGTTGGTCTTGCCACTCTGTGTCTCTGCATTCCTTTACTCCCAGGATTTGGTGGCCGTCGGTGGCCTTATCTAATGACCGTAGAACCCATTCAGGTTACTGTCATCTTTGTAGCCCTTTCTCCAAAGCCGATGAGGAATGTATATCCCAGGGTCAGACATCACTGACACCGTCTAAGATCCTAGGCCAAGCGAAGCCTGTCGCTGAGCCGAGGGGCACCGGGCTGGCTCCTCTCTGGCAGTCTCATCGCGACCCCGGAGCTGCCTGAACAAGGGTCTCCCAGTGTAAAGTTAAGGACTGGAAAACAGGTTGAAAAAAGAACTTTTAGCGCATGCTATCTGCCAGCCATACTCCAGTTCCTTGAGATGGAATCTATGTAATCTTTACGACAGTCTGTTATTACCCCCCATTTTAAAGTTGGAAAAATAAAGGCTTAAAGAGATTCACTACCTTGTCCAAGCTTCACATAAGGCGAGTGTACACACCCAGGTGTGGCAGCCCCCGAGGCCTGTCTTGGACTGAAAAGAAAACAGCAGCTTTGGGAACTGTGCTTGAGAGTGTGAGGAACTCAGGGCCTCTTCCCTGCTTTCTCTCCTGGACCCTCTTGTCACTGCAGAGAAGATCCCCCGCCCTGCCATCCAAAGGTGGAGGGACGTGCCGGTGTGGCTCAGTGGTTGAGCGTCAGCCCACGCACCAAGAGGTCGCTGGTTTGATTCCCCATCAGGGCGCATGCCCGGGTTGTGGGCTCAATCCCCAGTGGGGGGCATGCAGGAGGCGGCCAATCAATATCTCTCTCTCATTGATGTTTCTCTCTCCCGCTCCCTCTCTCTCTGAAAAAAAAAAAAATCAATAAATACATATTTAACACTAATAATAAAGTGGAGAGAAGTGGTGACTTTGTTTTTTTTGTTTTTTATCCTCACCAGAGGACATTGTTCCATTTTTTGTTCAGGTAGAGTGGGAGGGAGAGAGAGGAACAGAGAGAGAGAGAGAGAGAAACAGCGACATGAAAGGGACACATCGAGTGGCTGCCACCCGCACAACCGACCAGGGCCGGGGACAAACTGCAACTGAGGTACACGCCCTTAGCGGGAACCGAAGCCGGGTCTCTCAGGACCACAGGCCGACGCTCTAACCGCTGAGCCAAACCGGCCAGGGCGAGAAGTGGTGACTTTGGGGAGTCGTGGGCTGGTGAGGGCCAAGTGCAGTTACCCCTGCCCTTGACCAGTGTCTGTCTTACTCAGTTTGGAAAAACTTGGCAGGTGAGGCTTTGTCACAGAAAGCTTCAAAGGAAATAGTGTCTCAGCCCGCCCCGGGGCCCTTAGGTAAGAAAAGAAAGAAGAACCCCCACACCACCACCCCGCAAATGGGAGGAAGAGGAGGGTGCGGACATGTAGCGGGAGGTGGGGCAGGATGGCGAGCCACGCTGGTGCTCCTCTCCGGACACCCCACGGACACCCCACGCAGCCTCCAGCTTCTGGGGAGTCGGTGTGGCGCTGCTGAACCCGCCTGGTGACTTCTAACGGCACGGCTGCCCCGTCACCTGAGAGACGTGCTGAAAAGGCAAATCTGGGAAATCTCTTGGAGGTTTCCGACTGGGAGTCTATCTCTTTTATTCCCCAACAAAGGTCCCAACTATTAGGTCAGTGGAGAAGGGCTGCGAAGCTCTGGGTGACTCCTCACATGGAGAAAAATGTGTTAAGGTTGGAAACTAAACTCCTCCCCAGAAACGCCACAGCCGTCCAGTTGCTGATGTTTTCACAGATGTAAATGACAGGCTTGTGCGTTAAGGGCAAAAATCATACTTGGAACCCAGTGTATTTTTAGCTCAGCCTGCGTTCTATAGACCCTGTCCTAACTACCAGCCATAGTGAAATGAATGATAGATTACTCTCCACCTTCATACTCAGAACATTCATATTCAACCACCCCCAAAACTCCACCGGGTTGGGCTAAGAAGTACAAGGTGAGAGGGCATAGAATTAACTCCAGAGAGTTCTACGTGGGGCACCCCTATAGCCAATGTCTGATATGGCACCTCTTGTGCAGGTGACTTTCCTGGGGAGCTGTCCCTTAAATAGAAGCAGAAATCACCTTAGCGTCCCCATCCATCAGGTTTTGGTCAATGGCCATGGAGCAGGTGGTACTACGCCATTCCCTACCCAGACCGATCTGTTGGCAGAGAGACTGCGGTGATCCCTTTGGACGGTACAGAGGGAGAGTAAACCAGGGCTTCTATATACAGAACAGGCTGCATTTCATAGCCTTTTAAAACTGTATCCTGACAAAAGCTAAATTAGCAGGACAGCACCCTCCGCCCGTAGAGCCGACCTTTGTCCTGTCCACTAGGCGGCGCTGTGCGTCACGTTTTCAGAAGTCTCAAGCCCGCAAAATCGCACTAGGTAATTTTTTTGACAAGTTCCTTACATTTCTCATAAAATGAAAGTAAAGCTAACATTCTGTACTGATGCACGATATCAGATATGTAATAGAAACATTCATCAAAATTGGTGTACCAACAGCCTGCATAGCTGTTCCCTCCTGCGGCGCACACTCCTGCTGCCCGAACTCAACACCGCGGCGCTGCGGGGGAGCCTGGTCCCGCCCAGCGAGCCGGTCGGGCCGGCGGTCTTCCTACCTCCGTCCCGGGAAGCAGTCGTCCAAATGACTTTCCGATGTTTTTATTCTAACAAAGTCACCCGTTTCTCGTTGTGTTCGCTAAGACAAACTTTTTTTTTTTTTTATCAACTCTTATTGCTGCTGCAGTTGAAGTGTTTTCGTTGTACTTTTAATGCAATGTGTAAAGAAACCTGCTGCAATTATGTGATGAGAAACAGGCAGGAAGATACAGGGATTTTCAAGTTTCACGCTAGTTAGTAGAGGGCTCAAGCCTGACGCCTCGTTTCTCACATAGTTTAAAGGTCACTTTCGGGTTTCAAACGCCTTTGTCCATTGGTTAGTACTATTTCTTAGCCATGTGTACCCACCATTTCCCTAACCCACATCTCCCAAAATGGTAAAAGTTTCGTTAAAGAATTTCTAAACATTTAATCATAATTTCTTGGCTTAAGCCTTTGAGTGTTTGGCTGTTGTTACTTACGGAGGAGCAGGTTTCCAGATGTAGAAACGGGAACCACATGGGAGTAAGTCTTGAAAAATGCTGATTATCCTCACAGGGGCATAAAACTCAGGATTGGAGGGGCTTCCACAGTTCACAGAGTTCAATATTCTGTTTTCATCCCAATATTTGGGAATGTTCCATTTTTCACATGCTGAAATCACAGTTTTAATTATAGTTAGCAAACATGTGCTATACATTTCTCTAAGTGCTTTGTAAACATTACGTAATCCTCATAGCAATCCTCTGAAGTAGGTACTCTTAATGTCCCCATTTCACAGATGAGGAACAGGCACAGAGTGGTGAGGTGATTTCTTGAGGTCACTTAGCAAGGGGTTTAAATAGGAGGCAGGATCTGAAGTCAGGCAGTATGGCTTCAGTTAAGCTCTTAATGACCATATACTATGTTGCTCCATAAAATGAAAACAAAGAAAAAGGAGGGACCGCCCGGCCGGTATGGCTCAGTGGTTGAGCATCGATCCATCCACCAAGAGGTCGCCGGTTCAATTCCCGATCAGGGCACATGCCCAGGTTGTGGGCCAAATTCCCAGTGGGGGACATGCAGGAGGCAGCCAATCGATGTTCTCTCTTATCGATGTTTCTATCTCTTTCTCCCTCTAAAATCAATAAAGAAAGAAAAGAGAAAGAAAAAAGAGGGACCAAGGTCAGGTAATGCAAATCCAGTTGATAAAAATACTGAGAAGCCACTGAGACTAGTGGGAAATGTAGAATCTTAGTGATTGGCCAGGAATCCGGGCAAAGCAGCTCAACTCAGAGACAAGGTCACTGATCATATCTTTTTGGCGGGTCTTGGCTCTGTTAGATGTTGGCTTCCTTCTTGCTTAGAAATAGCAAACAGTGGAGGGACTCCTAGACTGAGTTTTCAAGGGCTCACACAGTCGCCTCTCTCTTAAGCACTGTGCACCTGCAAACTTGAATACTCGCTGGTTTTCGGAGGTACCAATAGAAGAATCAAAGCCACACACCCTGGCCAGTTTGGCTCAGCGGTTAGAGCATCGGCCTGTGGTCCAGAGAGACCCAGGTTCGGTTCCCGCTAAGAGCACGTACCTCGGTTGCAGTTTGTCCCCCCCGGCCCTGGTTGGGTCGTGCGGGTGGCAGCCACTCGATGTGTCCCTTTCACATTGATGTTTCTCTCTCTCTTTCTCCCTCCCACTCTATCTGAACAAAAAATTTAAAAATGTCCTCGGGTGAGGATAAAAAAAAAAAGAAAGCCACAAGCCAAGAATGTGTTTGTTTCTTGATCTCTGTCTCTAGCAGATCATGGTGACTGCTGTTAACTCAAGGGGGGGAAAAGTTTCCAAATCCCCCCATTCTCTGATCTCTAAGGAGCTGTGTGACTACCATGGGCCCCCCTGATAATCCAGGGCAGTCTCCCAGTCTCAGCCCTGTCGCACCTGCAGTGTCATCTGCCATGTGAGACCATGTGTCCACTGGTTCTGGAAATTAGGATGTGACCCCTTGGGGAGGGGCACCACTCTGCCTCCCACAGAGCATCTGGCCCATCTTCCTTTCCTTGGGATCGCCTCCTTCCTCCCTCTCCCAGCACCGCTCCTTATTACACCAAGCCCACCCCTTTATCTCTCCTGCCCCCCCCCTTCTCGGGGCTCCTGCTCTGACGCTTCTTCAGTTTCAGTGGGGCCTCCGAGTGCTAAGATCCACCAAGAGCTTCATTCCCTCTCTTTCCGCCGCTTCTCCCCCCACCCCAGCCCAGCCTCCCAGTGGATCGCTAAAACAGAAATGCAAAGAGTTATTGCTTTTTAATTACAAGTGCTATTGGAACATCTATAAGGAAGAACACTTTAAGCTTAATTGAGACCAAATGTGAAGTTAAATTAAATGAATAACTAATTAATGTAATGCTCCTGCATTAGCCCCCTGTGAGTGCCCAGGCCCAGAGAGAAGGCAGGTACCGGGCCTCTGGGGATCAGCCAGTGCCCAGAGCTGAGGTGGGGCTGGGTGGGGACCTGGGACCTGGGAGACAGTGCGGAAGGTCAGATCTCATGGATTTCCCCAAACTCCCACCTACAGCCCAAGTCCTCATTCCCGAGGCCGGGCTTGAGTTCCCAGTTTGCCTCTCCCTGGTGCCACACACCTGCGGCGTGCGTGGGCGAGTCCTGCTCATTTCCCAGTCCCCGCCTAACACGCGAGGGTTTGGTAAGTATTCACCCTAACTTCGCCCTCTTCTCCTCTCCCCGCTACCTTAGCAGCCAGCGGCCCAGGTCCCACCCAGCTCGCTCCAGCCGCCTCACCTGTGCCCCTCCCACAGGCGGGGTCACCTCCTGCCAGCCCCACCCCCCAGGGCTGGACTGGTACGTCGATGGCAACATCTCCACGTGAGTCACCACCCTCGGGTTTCCCAGTGTTGTACCATGCACACATTTTCATATTCCTGTCCTCTCCCCTCACCAGGCGGCTCTTCGAGGCGGGGCGGGGCTTCAGACCCATTGGTCTCCCTTCACACCAGTATCGTTACCACACTTTTCTAGGGGGTGAGGCTGCGGGAGAGACCTCAAACATGCCAGAGAAGAACAAGACCCCCCTACCCTGACCTGTCTGCAGCGGAAAGCTGACAGCTGGCGAGCGCAGGAACGTCTGCTCCTCCGCCCACAGGGCAGCGGGCTCCAGGCTCACGCTGGTCTCTACCGCGGGGTCAGGGCGCCACCTAGCGGCCCCCTGGAGGAGGCTGGCGGATAAACCACAGTCCTGAGAGAAGCATCGCCCTGCAACTCTGGCTCCCGTCCTGCGGGTCTAAGGACCAGAGGCCCCCGGCTGGCTCCTGCTTTCAAAGACGGAGTATCAGGCCCTGGGGTGTGTGCTGCCCATTTCGCCTTGAGGGGTTTGCATCCAGCCATCAGTCTGCCAATGCAGCAGGGTAGCTTACGTGGGCTTTAAGCTCCTGGTTTGCCCCCAGGTCATGAGTGTCAGGAGTGTCTCCGCTGGGAATGACCGTGTGACCAGCCCCAGCACATGACATGGAGGTCCTGGGACGCTACCTCCGCAACCCATGGGAGTTCCGGCACGGGCACAGCCGGCAAAGGCCATCAGCGCTGGTGCTGAGAGGTGGCTTCAGCGGTCAGGCAAACGCCGAGAGCCAGCCTGGCTGGATCCCTCTAGGACTTGAGGTGGACAGACCAAGTCACCGGGAACCCAGGGCAGAAAAGGCCACGACAGAGAGCCAGGCAGCTGCACGGCTCCTGAATGAACCAGACTTGTCACCACGTCTGTGTCCACTGTCTGCTCCCTTCCCAGAGCGGAGCTGGCGTCCCGGGAGCTCCCAATAACCACTGACACTTTATCAAAACACTGACATTTTTATCAAAACACACTGATATTCTCAGTCCTGGCTCCACGCCCCGCCCCACCCCCACAACACTGCCCTGACACGTGTCCTCCTGGACCAAGAGGGCTGGGACAGGGCGAGGCAGGGGAGGCCCGAGAGAGATGTCCCCCGTCCTGGCCCTGCGGGGTACAGCAAGGATGCTCAGGAGTTGGAAGCAGGTCCAAGCAGAGATGAGATGGCTTGTGGACAAAGGATGAAGAGTGGCAGCAGCGGTGCAACCGGGTCAGCATCCCATCGCTAGGTCCCAGCTGGTTATGGCTGTTCGGTCGTACACAGAACGGAGAGGTGTGCTGTCCGGCCGTGGCCCCGTGGGGCCCCCGCCCTCCGGCCTGGAACCTGGACAGGCAGGAGTCCTGGCAGACACTTCCCGCAGCAGGATGGAGACACGGCTCAGCTCTGACCCGTCCCGTCCACCCGGCTGTCCTCTTCCCAGGGAGGCCTCCCAGCCCGGGCGTCCCTGCGCGCAGCTGGCGGCGTCAGTTCAAGAGGCTTTGCCTCAGCTGTCAGTTTCAGTGGTCTTGCTGGGGGACACTTTGGGACCCAGCTGAGGCCTCTTTTCCAATCGGGGCCTCAGAACTCTTTATACCTGCGCGAGGAGGAGAGAGACAATGGAAGAGAGAGTGAGACTCCGGTTAATAACCTCCTGCCCCTGTGGTGGGAACAGGGAAAGCGGGTTCCCGGGGTCCCTCAATAATTGCCTTCATCCCTGTTCTCTATGATCAGGGCCCCCTCTCACCTCTTCAGCAGGGAATAGAAAGCCAGATTACATTTAAAGCCTTACAATATTTGCCACATTTCACAGCTTTAAAAAGCAATATCGTGGCTCCCGTGTCGGCTCAGCCTCAGCTCAGCCCTGCAGGTATTTAGGGATAAGCGTCTCCATCTAGAAGACCTCGGGCAATTTCTCCGAACTTCCACAGCCTTACGGTGTAAAATGAAGGTGAGCAGAGACAGCAGGACTGTCCGGGGATTTCTGGTTCCAGGCCCAGAGCTCCCTCGGCCTTGGTGAGTGACTCTGCTCCCCACACAGGCCGTTCGGAGAAGGGCCAGCGTACAGGGAACAGCGGACCCCACACACCAGGGACAGGCGCAGCCTCAGGCACAGCCGAGCCCTGAGCTCCGCCCCCTGGTCTCTGCCCGAGCACGTCTGCCTCTCAAGGCGGCTGGGAGGGCAGCCAGTGTATCTGAAGTCGGCCTCATTCCAGGCACAGGGCAGAGGCTTCCTCGGTGCTCATTCTGCTCCTTTCTGCTGCTTTTCAGTGCCCGCCCCAGCCCCTGACCCCACCCCAGGCTCCCCTCAGGCCTGGCTCAGGGAAGGCCGGTGGGAGCAGCACTGGTCCTGGGGCCCAGTCCCCCCTCCTGCAGGCCAGGGCACGGCCCAGATTGCCAAGGCCTCCTGCTCTGTGTTCCTCCCCTGAACCTGGGCGACGCCTTCCTGAAGGGAAGTGTGCCCGTTACCATGACCCACATCTACCACCCCGACCGGCCACAGCTCTGCCAGCTTCTCCTTAGCAAGAGTCTCCTGCTCCGAAGGAGAGCGCGGAAGGCCAGGGGAGCCCTCGGCACCAGCACGGAGCCCAGCCCCGCCACCAGCCTGCAGCCGCACGCCCACCACCACCGGGTAGCAGACAGGGAGCACACCAGCCAATCACCGACACTTATTCCATTTTGTCCCACAGGCTTTGATTGGCAATTGCTTCGGTCTGCACCCCACAGGCAGAGGGCCCAGTGCCCTTGGTCCCTGGACTTGAGCACTGCAGCTCAGAGTCTGAGTTCAGAAGAAAAACTGTTTCCCCGGACTCTGCCTCCTCTGTCCTGGGGCTCTGTCCAAGGCCTACTGCTCCCCGAGAGAAGAGGCTGCCGACCTTGGACAGCTCAGGCCGCTTAGGACACGTCCCCAGCACCGCGCCCTGCTTAGGTGGACAGCCTTGGGAGGTGCCCCCCAGAAGAAAGAGCGAGTTGGGAAAAATCACTAGAAGAGGAAGGATTTGCATGCAGGACCCACTCTGATGGCACATTAGTCACAGACTTGAAGAAAATACTCACAAAAGTCATGGGACTTGAAAATACTACCGGGCGTGGGTTAAGGCCAGACTAGAGCTATGGAGACACGCAGGACAACAGAGGGCAGGTTAGGGGGCGGGGGCGGGGTGGCAGCACGGAACACATCCAGGGCAGCTCCGCTGTCCCAGGTCCGCGCCGAGCTGGGCTGACTGGGCGCTCAGCACCGGACCATGGGCTTTGAACTGGGGGAGGGGGGAGGGGGGGGCTCCAGCTCTCCAGAGGACTCACCCCGTGTCTTGGCTCAGGGATGACTTCCAGGCCAGGATCTCTTTGTACACCAACCGGCAGAGGAGCTGTGGGAGTTGGAGGCGCAGGGAAAGGAGCACATGGTTAGTCCCCAGTGCTGGTGACCAGGAGTGGGCTGGCAGGAGGGACAGGGCTGGGCACACAGCTTCATTCAGCAGGGGTCACTCGTGGGAGATGAAGTGGTTCTTAGCAAAGGACTGCTGTCCCAAAGCCCCTAGTGGACAATTCTTTGGACCCCAGGGTTCTAGCCTGGCAGGACAGGACACCCCGAATATCCATCTGTGCACCCCAAGAAGTCTTACCAAGCAGGCCAGGACGTCCGCAGAGATGAGCATGTAGAAGACGTTGCTCCAGCCCGTGGGGGAGATGAGCCCAGCCAGCAGAGGCCCCAGAGCCGCACCTGTGCAGAGCACAGTGTCAGAGCAGGACACCCGCCCAGGGACCCTGCACCCCACCCACGTGATGGAGCAGTCCAAGGGGTGTGCCCAGGACAAGGCTCAGTGCTCAGCTGCTAGGAGCCAAAAGCTGGTCACAGACCTATGGAGCCAGTGCCGTCGATGATGGCCGTGACGGTGGACAGTGCCTTTGCGTTGCCCTTCAGGCTCTTGTGAGTCCCCTGGGGAGAGAACGCAGGGTGAGGGCCGGGGCCGATGACCCGGGGACAGGCGGCGTTGGGGCTCAGAGCTGGGGGCTGGGCGATGGAGGATCCTGAAGGACTCGGAGGATCTTGTCGGTGTGGGCCAAGAAAGGAGGAAAGGGCTGTGGGAGAAACGGACCAGGAAGCAGAGGCCCTAAGACCCCAAAGTGGTCCCTGTCCTCGGGGGCGGGGAGGCACTTACTAGGTCAGCTGAGACAGCAGTGGTGATGAGCGCGTAAGGACCGTTGACCAGGGCCCCACAGACAATCAGCATCACTGAGGGGGCAGCAGAGACAGCCGGTCAGAGATGAGGTGAAAACCCCTGGCCTCAGGCTGAGAACCTCTGCTTCCCACCAGTGCCCCAAGCAGCGCCTCCCCGTGGCCGGGCAGGACCCGCAGTGTCTCACCTATGGAGGTGGCAATCCCGTTCTGGCCAAAGCGGTTGTACAGGAACAGCTAAGGGGAGAGGCAGAGTCACACCCAGGCTTCCCGTGGGCCACCTCTGTCAGATGGAGCCCGGAAGTCCGGACTCCTGCAGGTCACCTTACTCCTGTCCTTCTCACACCCAGACCATGTGGTCCTTAATGTCCCGAGGATGGGGGTGAGTAAGATGTGGTCATTTCTCATTTCCTGTTTCAAGACAGTCTTCTCTCATCTAGCCTCAATCTCTTACTCTTTCCTTGATCGAGTTTATCAGCTAGTCGACCCTTCTTCACCAAGGCCGATAATCACTAGTCCCTTTCCAAAACCCTGTCTGGGTCTCTTTCCTGTGCACAGGGATGCACACACACGCGTGCGCTCAAGGCCCAGGTGCACACCCGGCTCAGCAGCCACACAGGTACGTATGCACACGCACTGCCCTGAGGTTGTACCCACCATGGGGGCCGCCAGGATCAGCATGACGAAGCAGGTGGTGGCCCTGCCATTGGTGTAGTCAGAGATGAGCCCCGCCAGGATGCCGCCTGGAACACAGACCAACTCAGACACTGCAGCCCAAGGCCCCACCACAGCCGCCCGGCCCCATCTCTGCCAGCACGGGCCTGGGCCTGGGCATCCGGAGCCAGCAGAGTCCTCCCTGTACCCACTGCTCACAGGAAGGCCAAACATGAGGGCCATCTTTCTTAGGGCCACCCAGCTGGGCAGGAGTTCTGTTTCTCTCTGATGCCACCTGCCCCGGTCACATTCCATGGGACCTGTCCCTCCCTTCTGCACCCACAGGAGGAGAGGATAAGGCACCGCCAGGCAAAGGTGGGCAGGGCCTCACCCGTGATGCCGCCAACGTCGAAGAGGGTGGACAGGTCCCCGGCCTCCTTGGCACTGAAGTGAGCTGTGAAAACACAACTGTGTCAGACCTGAGAGCAAACATCCGGAGTGTCACAGCCAGAAAAATCCGGGCACCCACCCAGACCACGGCCTCCGGTTTCGGAGGGAGCGGTGAGAACCACAGGGAAGTGCTGGGCCGAAGCGAGCTTACGTGTCCGTGGCCCCCGGACCCGCACTGCCTTCGCCTGCGGGATGGCCCTGACCTCTCAGACCAGCGCCCCCTGAGAGCCCTGCCCCCCCAGGCCACCTTCCATGGGGGTACACTTCTCACTGAGCCTCAGCCCAGCCAGCCGGCTCCCGCTCTGACTGAGTGGCCACCGCCAGGGGCTTCCCAGCCACCTGCCAGCTCTGCTAATGAACAGCCAGGAAGGAGACAGGACAGCGAGGACCTCGGGTCCCAGGCCCTGCCCTAGGACTAGAGAAGGAGCATCCAGAAGCTTGAGTTATAGCCCAGCCTCCAAGTGTGACTCATACTCCGAAGTCAGCACCAGGGTCACGGAACAAAGAGTCTGTGTCCCCGAAGCTGCCCTGAGGCCCCGCCTCTATTTCTGCAAGAGGCCCCCGGATAAGAGGTGTGGGGCAAGTCATAGCTTGAAATTCGGCCCTGACTAATCCCTGCAGTGTCCTGTCTGGAGTGAGCCCGCACATGGCAAGGCCGCCTTGGCCCTGGGCTCTCCCGGGAACCGCAGCCTGGGGGAGGGGCGGGAGGAGCTCTGAGCCCGGGACTGCAGCAGGGGTCTGCTTCTTTCTTTCTCTCTCTCTCTTTTTTATTTATCCTCACCCGAGGACATTTTTGCATCAGGAGGAAGAGAGGGAGGAAGAGAAAGAGAAACATCGACTGGTTGCCTCCCACACGGCCCCAACCGGGGCCAGGGATGAGCTGCAACTGAGGTACGTGCCCTTAGCAGGAACTGAAACCCAGGACTCTCTGGTCTGTGGGCCGATGCTCTAACTGCTGAGCCAAACTGGCCAGGGCTCTCTTTCTTTCTTAATCCTCACCCAAGGATATGTTTATTAATTTGAGAGAGAAAGAGAGAGAAAAGCATCGATGTGAGAGAGAAACATTGGTTGGTTGCCCCCCATATATGCCTCAGCTGGGGGTTGAACCGCAACCTTTTGGTGGACAGGATGACGCTCCAACCAGCTGAGCCACCCAGCCAGGGCCAGGGGTCTGCCTCTTGACGGAATGGCCACCTGTCCTATGGAATAGCGAAGACCCGGGCCAGGCAGACAGAAGCGTCCTTTTCAACCACAAAGTGACCTCTCCTCATCTGTCCATCCTCGGAAGGGGCAGAGGCGGGAGGAGGAGTCCAGGAGATGGGCGGTGCCGCCAACCCCGCACAGGGCAGAATCCCATGGGCTCTGGCAGCCCCTTGGGACAGGAGAACAGTGTTCGCCGCCAGGCTGCAGGCAGCGGGGTAGCTCACCAGGCGTTCTCCTGGGGTTGGGAGAGGCTCCGGGACGCCCAGAGGCACCCCCGACCCCACCCCCACCTTCGAGCCAAGCAGCCTGGCGGGTTTCTCCTGCACACAGGATGGAGGAGTTGGGGGGGCTGCAGACCAGAGCTTTGCGTTCCTCCCCCAGCTCAGTTCCAGGGGGAACGTGGCTGGAATCAGGGTCTGGGGGTAGCACACAAGGTCCGACTCTGCATTTGAACAAAAATCTCCTCACGCCCGAGGAAGGGTTCAGCGAGATCCTTCCTGTGTCCGACGGTCCACGCCTCACATCACGGACAGAGCCCCCCACCCTCGCCTTCCCCGGCACTCACCCACGTTGAAGATGTAGAGGGGCAGCCAGTAGAGGAAGGTATAGCTGACCAGCTTGGCAAAGAGCAGACACAGAGAGAACTCGATCACGCCCTGGGGAGCGGAACAGAGGGCACGATGAGAAGGTGCAGCCCCGGGGGCAGCTGAGCAGCACCCAGCTCTCTGCACCCCCACCCACTGAGCCCCTCACACACACACCTGCTCTCAGTGACAGCCGTGTGCCTGCTACTCGGTGCTGCACCCAGACAAGCCTCCCTACTCCCCACGCTGGGCATCTCCTCTGAAGGAATTCTGGAAACCCCAGATCACCCTGAGCAGCCCCATCTCCCAGAGAGTCCCCCAACTGCTCACCGGGATCATGAGCGCCCCCCAAAAGCTGATGGCAACAGGCTGAGCGCTTGGCTCCTTGGAGCATCCGGCAGCTGCCTCCAGGCTGCTGTCCCGGTGACAGTAGGGGTCATTCCCAGGGTCCTCGGGGTTGCTCTGCTTTTCTTCTATCCCATCCTGAACGAGATGAGACCTCTGTGGGCACGTCCGTGTGCCCCTCCTGCAGGGGACCCACCCGAGAGGCCAGGGCTCTGAAGCTGGGAGAGGTGTGTGTCCCTCTCTGGACTGGACTGAACTCCTGCGGCCCCAGGGCCTGGCATTGGGCCTGTGGGCTCAGGGCGTCCTCCTCCCTAGTCCTGCCTGGGGGTGCAGGGGGAGGGCAGGGAGCATGGGGCTCATACTCACGTGGTGCTGAGGGGTGGTGCAGTCCACATCTTCTGGGTCTGAAACAAAAACCTTCGAAGAAGCTTTCCTCAGACAGGGCCCTCCCTGTGCACTGGGACTGGTCCCCACCCCCAGTGTGGCCACATGGGGAGCTGGAACTGGGGCTCCGGAGACACCTTCTGGGCCTGGCTCTCGACAACGGGCCCGTCACCTCCTGGCCTTCCCTTCTCTTGCTATGAAGCCGCCCCACCCGGCCCAGCTGGCTCAGGCCGGCGGGGAGGGGGTGAGAACAGAGAAGGTGGGGCGGCCTGTCTGCCCCACCTCCCTGTCCACCCCTCAGACTCAGCCAGCATTTGCCAGGCATTCTAACTGCCCGTCACCTGAGCCTTCAACAGCCCGGGGACGTACCAGCTGACCATTCTGTTTACAAAGGGGAGAACTGAGGCTCAGAGAGGTCACTTGTCCCCAGTCCCACATCCGGTCCTCCAAATCCATGCCCCTCCAGAAGGATGGGCCCCGTGGGGAGGGTCCACTCACACTCAATGAGAAAGAGGAAGGTGACGACGCCCATGGCAGCAGTGATGATGCCTGGTACCACGAAGGACAGGCCCCAGTGCCCGCTCACCCAGATGCCAGCGATCAGGGAGCCCAGAATGTTGCCCACAGATGTGTGGGAATTCCAGATGCCCATGATGAACCCCCGCCTGGAGGGAGGGAGGCAGAGAAGATGAGGAGTAGTAAAAGTGTAAAGGGAAGCATAGGGTTCATCTCAACTGCCCTGGCCAAGTGCCGAAAGCTGGCTGCCTACAGCCTCCATGCCAGGGAAAGGGGGGAGGATGGCTCGGATCGAGACGGGCAGCCAGACTGGCAGTCTCTGAGCCAGCACACGGGCTTCCCAATGAGCCCTTGCTGTCCTGAGGGTTCAAGCCCCGCCCCCTCTCTTCTCTCCATCCCTGTGGCTGTAACTCTAAAGCAGTCGTCCTCAACCTCCAGGGGACATGGGCAATGTCTGGAGGGTTTGACTGTCACAGCTCGGGCGTGCTAGCGGCACCTAGTGGTGATGCCGCTGAGCAGCTTCAGTGCGCAGGCCGGCCTCCCAGCGCAGACCCAGCCAGCCCCAGGTGTCAACGGTGCCAAGGTAGAGAGAGAAGTCCTGCTCCAAAGCAACTTTTTTGCACAAAATCCAGTTCAAGAAAAAAAAATACAGTTTTACAAGCTTAATATTTGCCTTCTTCAGGAGAAATTCATCGATTATGAGGAAAAGCATAATTAAGGTGGCTGTTTTATGGGTTAAAACCTTATCAATGGAAAATCAATACTGCTTTTGTCACTAAGATGTTAATCTCACTCAACAAATGAAAGCCAGCAAAATGGAGACAAGTTTAGAATCTTTCACCCTGGAATTATAGTAGGGGGCCCAGAGACCCCCTCACTACCCCAGCCCTCCCAGGGAACCTCCCACGCACACGCTTGTCACGCTCACCTCCCCTTCCCAAACCAGTTGCCAACGCAGGTCACAACCGACGGCCAGCCCGTGGTCTGGACGAGTCCATTAAAGATCTGCAGGGAGAGAGCAGGCAGGTGGGACAGGCCAGGTGTGCTGCCAACTTCCTGCCCTCACCCGTCCTGGGCTGAGGAGGTCCAAGATCATGGTTGAGGGGTCCCTCCAGACCACACTACAGATGCACACACCCTCTAAGGCCCTCTGGCCCAAAATGCTTTATAGCAGAGACCCAGCCTCTCAGGTATCTTGGTGACCTCGGGTGGTGCTCAGGGCAGACTTACTGAGCCAGCAAATGCATGACCCTGGGAGGCAGGGAGCCGGACCCTGGGAGGCGGGGAGCCGGACGCGAGGAGAGTGGGCTGGGCAGGAGGTGTCAGGGCAGGACCGGGCGGCTGAGAAGGACTAGATGCCTTCTGCATGGGAAACAGAGGCCCAAGGGCAAGGCGGAGGCTCCTACCTGAATAAGCACAAAGTACCAGAGCACATGGATGTCCCAGAAATATCCCAGGCCAAAGAGCGAGGTGAAAAGGCCACTGAGCAGCATTCCAGCTGAAAGGTAGTAACGGAGGGGGAGCCGCTCCCCAAAAATCCCACTGGAGAAGAGAGAGTTAGACTTGTGGTCAATCCCTGTTGTCTGTGCTCCTCAATTCTGTCTCCATTTCTCAGTGACCCCCCCACACACACACACACCACTGGGGCAACTCTGGCCAAGGTGACCACCAGGGACCTCCGTGTTGCCACAGCCAGGGACCCCTCAGTCCTCCACTCTCTAGGCGTTTCTGCTTTATTTGAAACTACTGACCAGCCAGCTGGTGTGGTTCAATTGGCTGAGTGTTGCCCCAGGCACCAAGAGGTCGCCAGTTCGATTCCAGGTCAGGGCACAGGCCCAGGATGTAGGCTCGATTCCCAGTGGGGGTTGTGCAGGAGGCAGTCAATCAGTGTTTCTCTCTCTCTCTCTCTCTCTCTCTCTCTCTCTCTCTCTCCCCGCCCTCTCCCTTTCTCTCTCTAAAAATCAATAAAAAAACATATTTAAAAAAAAACAACAGCTGACCACACTCCTGGAGCTGTCCCCGCCCTGGCCTGCTTGATGCTGCTGTTGCGGTCTCCGCCCCCAGCCCTGGGGACCACGCCTGCTCATGGATCCTCTCTGGGAGCAGTCCCTGCAGCACTCGTGTGTTTGAACTACCTCCAAGTACATGTCTTCAGTCCACTCTCCCCAGAGCTTCAGGTCCACGTCCAGGTACTGCTGGACATCTTGGCTTGGAGGCCTCCAAACACTTGAAACTCAACACTAAAACTGAACTCCTCTCCCTCCTCCCCCTACCCAGCCCGTCGCCCTTGCCCTCCTCGGAGTGAATGGCACCGCCATCCTTGGCCGCTCAAGCCGCAAACCACGGAGCTGCCTCCGTATCTGCCTCTCCTTCCCACCCCTCACATTCAGTTTCCAAGACCCACGCTTCCTACTCGTGAATAGTTTCCCGAGTGTCGAATTCTTCCAGCACTGTTACTACTCTTCTAAGGCAAGCACTCCTCAAAGTGTCGCTGGGCTGTCATCCATTTCTCAGCATGACCAGGCCTTCAGCCTCGCCCTCCCTGAACCTACCTCCGGTCCCGCTCAGCGGCCTGTCTGACATGTAAGTCTGAACGTCACAGCTTGAGTGAAACCCTCCAGCGCTCTCCATGCCCAAGGCCTGGCCCACGTGACCTCCCCCTTCGGCCGGCTCCTGCTGCTACTCCCTTCAGACACTACTCCCGTTGCTGATCCCCACCCCACCCCCAGGTCACACTTCCTGCCTTTCCTCACGCTCTTCCTTCTCCAGCGCCAAGCCCAGCTGCTCTGCATCGGTGCACATTTCATCTCCTGCCAGAAGCCTTCCCTGGTCCCTCTTCTCCGACCCCAGCCTGGACCAAGTGACCACCTCTGAGCCTCAGAGCGCCCTGGCGCCACCCGGTCACAGCCGCCACGCTGCTGCTGACCCATCAGGCTGTGAGCGTGCCGGGGGTGCCTGCCTGAATCCTCGGACGAGCACCAGGCCTGCCTTGCTCGTTCAGGCCCGGGACAGGGCAGGGTGTCCTGGCCATTTCTGCGTCCAGCCCTTGGAGGATCCCGGGCAGAACAAACGGCACTGCAGCCTCACCACGAGTGCAGAACCAGGAGCGTCCAGGAGAGGGTTTCCAGGGGAGAGAGCTACTAAAAGTGGGAGCAGACTCGCCCCGGCCGATTTGGCTCAGTGGCTGGAGCGTCGGCCTGCAGATCAGAGAGTCCCCGGTTCAGTTCCCGCTAGGGGCACGTACCAAAAAAAAAAGTGGGAGCAGACTCAGTGACCGCGCAGGGAAACGAGACTAGCTGGGGGCTAATTCCACGTGCGGAAGCCTGGGCCTCATTTCCACCTGGGGAGCTACCAGTTTCACTTTGACCCCGCTGCCCCCAGTTCAAGGAGACGCAGCCGCTCTGGACCACGCAACTGGCTCTGCATCTCTTACCTGATAAACATGCCGATGGCATAGGCCACAAGGAAGGCATTGTCCACGGCCCCCAGCAACTCCTTGTAGTTGTCCTGGTCTGAAAGAGATGAGAGAAAGCTCGCTGCGTGGCTGCCCGCTGGAAGGCCTTTCTGGACCTGGACAACCCCTTCCTGGCGAGGGGGAGGGGAGGGGGAAGTAACTTGCCCCATTCTTACCAAACGGAGACCAGCTGCACCATGTGGTGTCGTTGGGACTGTGGGTGTCATTGGGGGGCTGGATCATCCCTGAGCAGTTCTGGTGCAGACGGCTCTGGACAATGAGATCCCAGGTCAGGGGCCCCAAAGCCCACTCAGCCCAGAGAAGAGCAAGCAACCGCCCACACAGCCACACCTGCACCACCAGGCACACCTGCACCACCAGCCACACCTGCACCACCGCCTCCCCACCGGACTCTGCTCCTCCCTCTGGCATCCCCTCCTGAGGAACTGGCCACAGTGGTCACAGCGGACCCTCAGTGAAGGCAGGACCCACAGAGCCCAAGGCCCTTGCTCTCTGTGCACACACAGCCACCGACACTGCTGTCGTGGCGAATCAAGTCACAAGGAGCACCGAGGGACAGTTCTCTGGAATAGAAGAGCTGCTGAGAGTGGACGCCGGCCGGGTGGAGGAGCAGGCTGGGCGCTCACGGTGAGGGACAAGGATGGCCGTGGCCGAGTTCCAGCCGTGGAGCCCCGCACCTCCTGGGCTCGTCCTTCCCGCCAGCCGGCTCACCTTCACAACACTGATGGGCTTCCTGGACATGTGGTAGCAGGTGTAGACTAAGAAGGTGAGCAGCAGGATGAAGCCTCGGTACCTGCAGGAGACGGTGGGCATCCGGGTTAGCAGGGAGATGGGGCCAGTGTCCCCCGGGGCCCACTCTGCCAGCCGCAGGGTGCACCTCCAACTCCACCTTCAGGATCCCCCCGGACACCACGCCCTGGGGCAGAGCCGAGGAGAGGGCAGGAACAGATGCCCGGAGCCCAGGGTGCTCAGGAGCCCTGTCTCCCTGGTCCCAACCCTGAGCACTGCCACCAGAGCGGGCCTGGCACCAGTGCCCTGGACCACACACACATTCCGCTCGTGACCTCCGTCACGCTGCGTTCAATGGGCCTCACTGAGGTCAGAGAGGCTCCGTGGCCGTGTGTGAGAGAGATGGAGGCGGGGAGCTAAAGTTGTTTTAGAAATACCAGAGGCGACGGGCGGGAGGCTGGTGGGGAGAAGAGTCTTCACAGTGAAGCTCGGAACTCGGCAGCCAGCACCTGCCGCGGGCCTGTTTGAGCAGAGCCCAGACCGCAGCTGGACGTGTGGCACCCGTGGGAGCTGCTGACAGGACCCACGTCCCGGTCCTGGTCCTGGCCTCAGCTGTCCCACTGGACAGCAGGGCCATTCCTTCCACCTGTGGCTCACACGTCACGTGCCCTCTGCCAGCCCCCTCCGCACCGGTGCACGGGTCTGGGATGGAAAGGACAGCTCAGCCAGACACCGCTAGTTTCCATAAGGTCTGGGGAAGGACCGCGGGGCCCTGAGTCACTGTCTGCTTCTCAGCAGAGATCAGCTGAGCGGTCAGCAGCCGGGACTCAGGAACACATGGAAAATGGGCCTCAAAGTGGTCCCCCAGCCAGGAGAAAGGCGGGGCATTCAGAAAGCCCCTTGCCCTGGTTCACAAAGATCTCGTGGAGAAGGGGAGACGGGTAGGAGGGACCCTGGAGCCCTTAGCATCCCTCAGCTCGATGGATCCAAGGAGCTGGGCACTGCGGCTCGACCTGCCCTTTCTGGAATCTGCCTCCAAGACCCAAACTTACTTCCTCCAAGTGTGTCAGGAGGGGACTTTCGGCAGAGCCTGAGTTGGATTTGAGCTACCAGGCCCTGCTCTATGCTTCCCTGGCTTTGAGCTTCCTGCCTGGGTTCTCTGTTTCCATTCCATCCACTGCCCCCGGTTCATCTTCTTAAAAGAATGAAGGTCCACGTGACCCGCTCCACGGCCCGGCTTAAACTTGTCAGTGGCTCTCCAGTCTGTGGAGAACCAAGTGCCGGCTGTCTAGCCCGGGTTTCACGTTCCTCCACAACCTGGCCCCTCTGGCTACCAGCTCCCAAGTGGGCATGGTTCTCCAGGGACGCGTTCTCCAGGGAATCTGGGGTTACTGCAAGGTGACCGTCACAGTGCCTGACATCAGCAAGCTTGATGGCAGCAATGTTTTCCGGGCCCCACCAGTGGGCATATGGCTCATGGCTCCTAGGATCGAGACTTAGAGAACCTGAGGGGCGTCTGGAGAGGGTGCCGCTGGCCTTCTTCAAAGAGCGATGGATGGAAGAAACTAGTCCCACAGGAAATTGCAACCTAGCCCCCTACCGGGAGGCTCCAGGTCTGGAAAAAGCTGAAAGCTTTGAGCTGGGCCGCTCATTTACTGTGTGACCCATGCAAGTTCCTAAACCTTTCACCCCTGGTGTCCTCATCACTGCACAGGGATGACAGCACCAACCACACGTCTCCCAAAGAAAGGCGAACACAGTACTACTGTCACCTAGTCCTTGGTCCCTGCTGTGTCCCTCAGCTGAGCCTAGCTTGGCTGCCACATGGACGCAGCCTCTGACCAAGGTGACAAGTGACATCTTCTCCAGATCTGAAGGTGCCCGAGGCCCCGGCTCTGACTGTTTTCCCAAAACGGGCCCGCAGCGAGGTCCTCACCAGCTGTGGAGTCTGGTGCTGCCTGGGAAGTCAGACTACAAAACCCAGCAGACGCCGGGCCCTCTGAGGAGCCGATCAGAGCCAATGGGGCTCAAAAGTCTAGCTTGGTGGCCAGCCTCCCTTTCCTCCCACCCCAGCTCGTCACCGCCCTGCTGATCCCCCCCAAGTACCAGGACCTGCCCACTTAGCAGGGACCCAGAGCACCCTCCCTTGGCTTCCTCCTGCCTGTGTCCCTGGGTTCTTCCATGTCTGCTCCATGCGCCTTTCATCTGGAGCCTCTCCCAACCCGGGGGTGGGGGTGGGGGTGGCGCAGCCGCAGACACAATCATGCCCACTCTGACACTCTGATTCTCTCGGGCAGAAATGAGAGTCCCTCCCACTCACGTCCGCACATATGCCTGCCGCGTGCCAGGCACTGTGTAGGGGTCCAGCAATAAGCAAGAGAAACCATAACAGGGATCTCGGGCCTCAGGTGCTCACGGGTCAGTGGGGAGACGGACAGAATGGGGGTAACGGCGCTGCACAGGCGGCAGCCATGCACGACGTGGAAGCACGCAGGAGGGACGGCCCGGCCAGCTGGGGTGGGAGCAGCGTCAGGAAAGGAGTCTAGAGGTGAGGCTTTAGCTGAATCTTCAAAACAAGCAGGAGGCCAGGCCAGCCGGAGCTGGGGGGGGGGGGAGGTCCAGGGACAGAGCTGCGTGGGCAGAGGCGGAGAGCGGGCACTGGCACTGCCCGTTTGGGGCATCCTCTCAGTGCAGCATGAGTAGCCGGTGGGACTGAGCCACGCTGGGGGGCGGCAGGGGCAGGGCACACGGGGCCTTGGGTGCCGCGATGTGGAGGTGACAGTGTCGGGAAGTCGCTGAGAGGCGCTGGCATTTTCTAGATCAGAGAGGTCTCAGTATTTTGGGGGGCCTGACAGGCTTCCTCATTGAAGGCAGAGCCAGCCCCTCGGGCACAGGGCTTCACCACGGGGGCCCTCGGTGCCACATTTCAGAGAGGGTGTGTCCGTGGTGGGAAAGAGCAGGGACCCTGGCTTCACCCCCTCCGCCCACTGCTCATCTGACAAGAGGGCTCAGCACCTTCTCACGGGGCTACTGGCAGGTGAGCGATGCCACATGGCTCTCACGAGTGCCTGACACCCAGTGGCACTATTTAAATTCTCAGATGTGGAAGGAGAGCTGGAGGGGCGGAAACCCCAGCTGCGGTGCCGCAGGCAGATGAGCGGGGCGGGGCTGGCACCACACTCCTCTGGGTGGTGGGAGTCCCGGATCCTGCTTCACTCCGACGAGGGATTGGGAGGCCAGGGTGCCCCCTCCCACGGCCCCAGTATTCCTGCCTGGGCTGGCTGAACTGCCAGAGCTCTCACTATGGGGTTGGGGGCTTGGAAGATGGACTTTTTTAACCTGGTGTTAAGCACTCTCAACCTTGTGTTAATGCCTTCTCGGAACCTTAGCCTGGGGCGGGGAGACCTGGTCCGCCCAGGGGTGTTGGGCGCTTCATTTGCATGCGAATAAGTGTTTGCTATCTATAGGCTTCAAAATCTCTTCCCGTAAAAAGCAAGAGACAAAGCTAGGGTGTATGTAGTAATGCCATCTAAAGGAAATAATTTACTTAAATCCCCTTGTGACCAGGGGGTACCAATCTGCAAATAAATAGGACTGCGCCCAGAGAACCGGAGATTTTGCTCCCCTGCAAAGCTCCCCTCATTCCAGCCGCGTGTGCTTGTGGTTTCATCGCGCTGCACCGATCCCGGCAGGCGCTGCACCGATCCCGGCAGGCGAGAGCCGCGCTCACCGCGCCTGCGGCAGGTGCCAGCGCCCGCGGGGCAGCCCGCGCTCGCTTGGGAGCAGACAGGGGGCCCAGCAGAGTCCACGCTGACATCTGCCTGGCGGAACTCCAGCCCGGCCCTCCTCCAGGGGCCTGGCCTAAGCTCTCTCCCAGCTCTGACCCCAGCCCTGAGTAGAAAAGTCAACAGGCAAGAGAGCGGGAGTCATGGCTCCTGGGGATGGAGGGGCAGGAGGGCCGCAGCTGGACCTCCCGCACCTCCTGCGGGCTGAGCGTGGTGGAGGGATGAGCTCAGCCTCACAGGGGCTGGGCAGAGGGCACGGGGAGCCAGGCCTCCTCAGTCCAGCCCTGTTTCCCGTCCACTCTGGCCACTGTTCTGAGAAAAGGGCCCAGGAGCCACAGGTAGAGGGTTAAGGTCTGGCTGAGCCGAGGCCAAGGCGCACACTGGGGCTCAGACGCGCTCCAGCGGGGCGTACAGCGGGTTTCACTTCCTTCCCACATGCCCAGCCTGCAGGATGGAGAGGCCCCAGCAGGAGCAGGAGGCGAAGACACAGCTGGGTCTGCCTGGCGGTGAGGGCAGGGACGGCAGGGACGGCAGGGACGGCAGCCGCCGCGCTGGGTCAGGCTGTCCTGGTACAAAGGCCAAGGGACACGTGTGATGAGGCTCCACATGTTCCAGGCGGGGCTGGCAGCCCCATGACCCTCTAAGTCTTTGTTAGCAAGAAGCCACACTCTCCACACTTGATCTTTGCCAAAAGGCCGAGAAGCCACGAAGAAGCGGCACCTTTTGGAGTCCCGCCTGCCTACCAGGCACCGGTTACTGAGTAACCAGGTCCAGTAGAGAGGGGTACGACTCTCATTGATTCGCGGCCAGTCCAACGGATTCCTCCAGCGGAGCATAACGGCTTTATCAACCTCGTGAAGACTTTGCACTAGGAATGCTTCTGAGAGGGAACTCAGAGCAATTCGTCACAAAGTGGCAAAGGTCAGCAACAGGGAAAAAGAGCACAGCAGAGGCGCGAGGAGCTTAGGACACAGCTACAGCCAGCCACCCCACCCCTGGTCCCTGCACCCCTCCTTGCTTTGCATCCTGCAGCCCCACCCCCACGTAAGGCCAGTGGGGCTTACACTCCTCACGGGCAATTCCATCCCCCCTGCCTTAACCAGGGCTGCTGGTAGATGTCTGCGGCCTCTGACGTGGCCACGTGACAGGAGGGGCTGGCTGTGGCTGCAGGTGACCTTGGCACTTGCCCGGAGAAAACAGACTCGGTGGATCTCCATGCCTGTGCCTGTTCTAGGGCTGAGCAGATCTGAAAAGAACCGAGTGCTGGGAACCACAGAAC